TTGGGTCATGAGTTATACATTTAATACATGCAAAATTTTGGAGGTCATAACTTTGCATTCCGATGTCCAATTGGGGTGATTTTTTTTTTTGGATAGTTTTTCGAGATCTATGTGTCCCAAGGGGCCATAGGCACCTTGCCCCACTATTTTCACAAAAAAAAACCCTTTTTTGGCCACAAATTGTAATTTTTATTTTTTTATAAATAAAAAAACTAAAAACTAAATAAAAAATATAAATTAACATATCTAAAACTTATTTATACATAATTTATTGATAAAATATATATTTATACATGTGTGTATGATGACGTGGCATGGTCTGAACTATTTGACCCAGCCAGTTCAACCGGTGACCTGCGACCTAAAGACAAAAAATGGTTCAACCTCTGTATCAGTTTTTAAAACATTGTGCTAAAGAGACCATTTATCTTTTTCTTTTTTAAAATCTTTTTCGGTATAATAGATTTTTCCTTGTTTTTGATAGATGAAGACATGCACTATTTTATTGCAATTAGAGGTATAAACGGACCCAATGCGACATTCAAATTATCCGAATTCAATTCGATTATGTGAAATCTCGAATTCGAATTTGACAGCCCTAATTGCAAATAAAAGGAAAGCATCTAGATCTGTTTAGATTTTTGGGATTAGGCTTATATTCAAATAAAAGGAAAGCATCTAGATCTGGCTTGCGGGGCTCGAAAAGATTTTTGGTCCTTAGTACTTTACCGTGTGGTTGATGGTGATAAGACAGGACCCTTCACTGGTTGCAGGTTCGGAACCCTTCACTAAAAAATTAGGATACATGTTTAGATTATCGGATTCATGAACCATTTTTCAAATATTTCAAAGATTTTAAACTGTTCAAATGGGGTTCTTCGACTGAAAATAATTAAGATAGATATCAGGCTTCGAAATAAAACGAAAATAAATTAAGATAAGATTTTGAATTGATGTTTGGCCCAGTTACTCTTCCAGGTAGGACAGTAAGTCGAAAATCGAAATATTGGACACATAGCTTGTTTTGGGGGCCAGACCGGTTCTGTGTTACCAGACCCTGGCTTTTACCTTTCTCTTGCTGGCTGTTCACTTGTTCAGGCAGGTTGGGCGATCAAACCCAACACCAAGAACGGACTGGCTGATCAAATATATCTTATAAAATATACATACAAATCTAGCTAAATCAATATCTGGCCTTAGATTTATGTATTGAATTAACACAAAATACGAAGATGAATTATAAAATGAAATTTATAATAAAGAATATATAAAGGGATTTAACTATCCTTGATTCTACCCAATCGCATAAGCAACCTTTGATTGACAATCAAAGTTAGTGAAGATGAGGACCATTGGTGTGTATCTCTCACGCTTTTTTAAGTATCGATGCAGTTTTCCCACTCCAGGATTTAATGCTTTATACTTGATATGAAAGTTTATTTTGATCGAAACTCTTTTTCTTCCTTGTTTGGTAATTTGATGGGGACCTATAACATCACTTATTGAAGTTTCAAATAATTGAAATCATCTATGACGCAGCATGGAAGTAATGAGAAACCGGGCTGACTATGCAAGCACTGGGCGATCGCTAACTTCTAGCGAAGAGCACCGAATTTTCTAGGAGAGAGAAAAGGTGGCGAAAATTGGAAGAAGAGAAATTGAAGAAATTCTAAAAATATGAAGTATGAATTGATGAATAATTTTGGGAAAATAGCAGTATTTATAATACATTTGAAAATTGTAAAAGAACTAGAAAATAATAACTAGGATAGATCCAAATATCTAATATGATAGAATCGAATTCTTCTTGGTTTGATCTCCACCGTCCAATCTCCCTAGATGCATGAATCTTGGATTATCTTGCTAATCTTGATGCTTCTTGGAGTCTTTCTTGATAATCTTGGAAGAGTCTTGGAAGAGTCTTGATAATCTTGGAAGAGTCTTGGAAGAGTCTTGCTAATCTTGGATTCTTGGATCCCTTGCTTATCTTGAATTATTGGATCTTAGTTAGACTTATCCTTAACCTAGGAGCTGCCGCCCCTAGGGGTGAGATGGGCCTTGTGATGGGCCTCCATCAATCTAATTCTTCTCATTTGGGAGTTTGAATCTCCTGCCCACAAGAACTATACATACCGGGTATTGTGCATGGTATTGTGCACAGGGAGAACATCTCATTCTTCTGCATGGTATTGTGCACAGGAAAATGTCCCCAATGCACAGAGTCCTCATTTGGCGTATCATCAGTGATCATAAAAACTATGCATAACGGGAAATACGCATTGGTATGTTTCGATTTTTTGAACCTTTGCTGTGAAGTGCTTCTCTAGAAAGAGCATCTTGCAGAGTTGCAGGTGATTGATGAGAAATAAGAAAATGAATTTTCTTTCTCCCCTCTTAAACTCAAAGTAGAATTGAAATAGATAAGTAAGTGTTGTTTGCAATTCTCAACTCTCAACTGTGTTGGTGAGACTTTAAGACAGGGCCTCATCCTCCCTAGCCACCAATATTTATTTATAGCATAGGTTTGGGCTGCCGCCTCAGCCCACTACTTTTTAACCAATCCCATGTAAGTAGGGCGTTTGTTAGGTTTAACTCCTATTACTTGCTCTATTATGTGAGAAGCAATGGTTTGATGAAGGGCCCACTTCTGTTACAACTTACAACAGAATATGGGCCTAATTGCGTTTAGTACACTAAAATCCTTGGGCCGATTTAATGGTATACTATGGGTTATATCCATTTAGATTTAGACCTTAGGCCTACAGAGGCCCATGATAACATGGGCTTAGGAAAATTTTATTCTTTTCATCTGCATTGGGTTTAGGTGCACTAAGGACTAGAGCTGTCAATGGGTCGGGTCTACTCAATTGAACCAAATTGAGTATTGAGTAATCAATCCAGTTCTGTTTCAGAGTTTTGTGTCTTCATTATAATTAGGTTGGGATCAATTTTTGCTATTTCTAGACCGATTATGTAATTAATAATATATAAAGGTCTAATGATTTTCTTGTAAACTGTAAAAAGATAAATTTCATATAGTATATAAGATAATTTTAGTTAAAAAATACTTTTTTATCAACATATAAACAGTTTATTTTTTACTGACATTTTTATCAAAAATAAAGTTTCAAATTGTCATTTTATAGGTAATTATGGATGTCAAATATAATCGGATCTATTTTTTTTTTATCTTTCAGACCCAATTATCCCCGGTGATAATTGGTTCCATTCTGGTTCTAAGTTTGCGTCCCAATTATAATTGGACCCGACCCATTGAGAGCTCAAAATGGACAAGGAATTTGTATTGAATACATCAAGAGTTAATAGGGCAGCTTTGTGTAGATGTAATGCATATAGAAGGGAACATATTAATAAAACCCTTTGCAGGTTAGAACCGATTGTTTGGGGGTTGGTCTATGATGACGATTTCCTCTAACTATCCCATGTGGGCTTTTATACCTGAATCACTTTTTCTACCACACTAGTGTTGGCCTTAGATTTACTGCAGTGACCCGACCAATAAATTACTTCATCTAATTAACATGGTTTTTGGAAATGTGGGTATTTTTTAGGATCATTTTTAAGAAAAAATGCCCATACTTCCAAGACCCATTTTTCACAATAAAACGCTTCTGCCATATAGACAATAAGAAATACTATGCTGTTTGGTAAGGTGATTTTCATCTATGTACTGATAGGTAAGCACCACATAGAATACACATCAGTCAACCAATGAGGAAAATAGTTCACCCATACATGAATCTTAGCAAATGTGGGCTATTTTAACATTTATTGTACCACAACCTCACTTAAATCATAACTGATTGGAAATTGTCGGGGCTTACAGCTGGATCTCCTACCCACACCTACCCATAGGATACTACAACCGTACATTGGGAATATATCCCCCGTAAGAGATTCGAGCTCAGCTAAAATTAGTAAAATTAATATGTTTTTCACATTTTCTTTCTTGGCTGGAAGTATAGAACAGCCACTAGTTTCTTTGTGAAGCTGTTCACCAAGCGCTCAATGGAGCTGCTTCAGCAGTATCTTGGGAATATTGGGACTATATTCACAGTTTGAGTATGTTAAGTTTATGTTTATAAGCAGGAACTTAATGGTACTAAACATAATGTAGCTCAAAAGGTGAAGTATTGTTTCTCTTGTCAGGTTTGGGATGGGGATCAGCTTTTTTTTTTTTATTATTATTATTTTGATTATTCTGATTGTTGATATCTGTTTT